CAGCGCCCGCAGGCATGAGTCCAGGCCAAGCCCAGGCAGCCAAGTCGGTGCTCACTGTTACACTGCACAGGGGAGTTAAACCGAGGCCTGACCAGGCATCTGCGTGTGAGACGCCCCATGAATTAGACCGCACTGGACAAGTCGACATGTCTCGACCCCTATCTCTGCGCGACCTGCAGAAGCTCAACCATCACGCCGGACGCGGCGGCGGCGGCGAGCGACAAGGAAAAAGCAGCACCCAGAGCGTGACGCAGGGGAAGTCGATGCAGCACTCCACCTCCAAGAGATAGTACCACAGCTGCAAGGCATCCGGGGACAGCAAGCGCCATTTGGAAGCCATCCAAAAGGCACAAGCGTGCCGCATCTTGGCCTCAGCCGCGAGCTCGATGCCAAAGACCAAGTCGAAGAAGAGGGAACCATGCAGCACGGGGGCCGTGCGAGGATCCGCGCGCAGAAGGCGCTGCAGGGCGACCAAAGCTGCACGACTCACCCGTGCGTCGACCAGACCGCAGAGATAGGCGCGCAAGACCACACCGAAAGGGAAGGCCCTGCGCGGCGGCGCCACAGCCGCAGGAGTGTCCGGCGCGCGGAAGTCCAGCAGCGACTCCACATCGCTGTCGACCATGTCCGCCCAACGCATGGCCCCAGGAAAGCGACAACACTCGTAAGCCAAAAAATGGGCTGCAGAGAACGCAAGGTACACCCGACGTCGAGCGAGTCTGCGATCTTTGTAGTGTGAGGTCAATGAGTCACAGCCAAAAAAGACTTGCACAAAAACCTCCACTACCGTGGAGAGCACGAGTTTGAACGCCCCTTTGTAGTCCACGGCAGTGAACCCGGGTTGCCGATGCCTGGCTTTGTGCACTGGCATCACACCCAGGATACCCGACGCTTTTGGCCGGGTGGCACGCGTCTGCCGAGCAACATCGACAGAGAGACCATGCTGGCAACAGCTCCGTCAGTTGGTCCACCACGGAGTGTCGCTACCATAGTCCGATACTTCCCACAACGAGCTCTCGCCCGAAGAAGCCGCGTCCGAGGATCCGTCTGGCTCGAAAAAGAGAAGTACCACACCGAGGTTGCCGTGCACGATGTACAATGCCATGACACTGCCCTCAGTCCCCGCACCCGGCCAGTGTCTGTACAAAGCCGTGACATACGGGAACAGATGGCGGTAGGCCGTTGGCACAGCCGGGATGATGAAGTCCGGCAGCCACGCCTGCACACGAAGACCGTCTTGCACCCAGCGCACCGCGGCAGCGTAGGCAGGATCACATACGGGGCCGAAGGTATTCAAGTGCAGCGGCCACTCTGAGCCGGTGGTCCCGGCGGCCTCCAGAACCTCACCCAAGTCAGCGGAGTGCTGAAAGCTCAGGCCGTAGTAACGCCCACACAAAGGCGCCAAGCCGTTGGGCGCCATGTGGACATCCAGGATGTACACTGGGCGCAATGGCTGCCGAGAAATCGGCAAGACCAGGCCATGCTCGAGGAGGATGGTCAATTGCTGCTCCGCCTCACGGGTCAGGCGGTCCAACAATGCGTCGAGGGGCCGCAGCAAGCCTGCGGTCCGCCGCGAGGCCGCTGCAAAGACCACACCAGCGCCCAAGGGGAGGCAGCCCAAGATGTCCTGCAACAGAGTCTGGTCAGAAAGCAGCGACAACGCCATGGCAACCGTGGCAGGAGGGTGGGACCAGGTATTGCGCGATGCCGAAACTGCCGTCTCAGGGGCCACAGCGCGGCCGCAGACAACAACATGTGCGCCAAATTCGCGCGCATGTGTCCGTCGAAGTCACTGTGCAAGACCTATAAAGAAAAGACCCAACACGCAGCGGCAGGGGATGCCCACCTCTACCGTCCCACCGAGGGCCGGGGAGGGGGGGGGGGGGGGCCACGACTACTACTACTACTTCCTCGTAGCACAGGATGCTTCTTTGTGGCCCTCGTAGGACAAGATCCTTCTGCAGGGTTTCGTAGCGCAGGATCCTTCTTTGAGGCCCTGGTAGCACAGGGAGGGGGTTACGATTTCAGCTGGCAGCGCTCTCCGTCGTCACAGAATCCAAGTCGGCTGGCTTCGCTCGCATCGCTCCGCTCCCCCCCAAACCGGGTGCTTCCGTCCGAAACCTATACACGTTGCACCATGCGGATCCCCTCGTGAACCATCTTTCTGCTGTACCGCGCTCCGCTCACTCTTGCGCTGTCCCGTTTTCAAACAGTTTTGGCTTCGTACGTCCCCGCCCGCTTCGCCGGGGGAACGACGACTACTAGTACTACTTTCTCGTAGCACAGGATGCTTCTGTATGGCCTTCGTAGCACAGGATCCTTCCTCACGGCCCTCGCGGCACAGGATCCTTCTCTGAGGTCCTCGTAGCACGGGATCCGTCGTCAAGATCCTCGTAGCACAGAATCCTTCTTCAAGGACCTCGTAGCACAGGAGCCTTCTTTCAGCGCCTCGTAGCGCAGGAGCCTGCTTGGACAGGAGGCCACCCTCAACCGAGTTCCGACATCATGTTCGGGGATTCCCTCCTGGAAGTAAAAATCTGACACAACATGGATACACCAAGTCTGACAAGACCCCAGTGGCCCTCAGGCCAGTAGCTAGCTGGGGCCAGCGTTCGTGGGGAAGCCAGGGAAAAACCCGAACGAGGTAAGACAACCCTTGTGTCCGCACTGGGAATAAAAAATCCCACCACGGTATACACCCCCGTCTACTAGAGCACAAGTGTCCATGCGGTGGCTCAGGATTTGTAGGTTCAACATGAAGCGGACCATGCACTGCACGCTACGGAGCAAGGCACCAGCCGAAATAGTCATGCAGCAATTAGGATTCCCACACCAGGAAGCCACCATGTGGGTGACATACGGGCTTCCATTGTCCAAACACACTCCATCCTGGAACATAACCGAACACCGAACCTACCGGCAACGACGGCGACCCGGCGACGGCCAAATCCGGAACGCGTGCAGCTCGGACCAACCCCAGGCACCGACGTCTGGCGTGCGGCAGCGTTCGTCTGCCTTTTCACCCAACGGGCGTGCAAGTGCTTGCCCCGACACCATTTTGGTCCTTCGCCGGGGTTCATGCGGCTTCCTTGCCTTACCAAACCTCGGCGTGGCCGGCCTTAAGGTCAAAGCCACAAGTGAAGGCCGACAGACCGTTGGTGGCTTCAGAAGCCACCGAATGCTTGCAGGCAAGCCAAACGTTGAAACATGTTTTAAAGCGCATGCAAACTGAACACCAACCGGCATCGCATGAAATCACCTCCAAGCGTGTCGTCAACATGTGGTCAAGCCACAAAGCTCGTGACTGTCAACCGGGGGCCGTCCTCGGGCCTGAGTGAAACGTCTGTTCGTTGGGGTCTTTGCCTCCGAGCTCGTGTCAGGGTGAACCCGGTCGCTCTATCCAGGCAGGCCAGCAGGCCAGTTAGACAGTGACAAGTCCTGGGTTGCCTGGGTCAGGTCAAATTGCGCCTCGTTCCTCAACGAAGCCCAAGACAGCCTGCCTGACGATTTCACCAGCTTTCTAAGTCCGAGCCCGAATTTACAAAATCAGCGTGAAGCTGATGGGTCCAAGATGACGGTCTCCAACCGAAACAGAACTAGGAAACATAATCCGGCAGAAGAAGAGGGAAGCAACCTGGGAAAACTGTAGACCATGGACTAACCGAGGCACCCCCAGGCTGCTACGAAAAACGTGTCACTAGCCCTGTATACAGAACCACCATCCCGTGGGTACCTTCCCTTGGGTGGGAGCCCACGTCACATGCTTTCACGAGCTCTCACGATGGATACAGGCTTCACCCGATCCACTGTGGTGAGGCTTGGGCATCGGGGACATGGAAGTGGTGAAGCGCTTGGGTGCAAAACATGTGTCAAGGCTCAACACACGTACTTCTGTGTCAGTTCCGTTCCATGGATACCGTTAAGTAGGAGCCCCTTCGACCAAAAGCTATACCAGACTCTGCACCTCACCAATAAAGGTCACCGGCCCGAGAGATAAAAAACACGTCCAGCCAAGCCGCCGTGCAGCTTCGGGCTGCGGCACATGTCTCCGTACCACAGCCCGGAGCGAAAACTCGCTGACCCAAGGTGGATGCGTAGCAAACAGGTCTCACGGTGGATGCAGGCTTGACCCGATCCACTGTGGCGAGGCCTGAGCATCGGTGACATGGAAGTGGTGAAGCGTTTGGGTGCAAAACATGTGGCAAGAGTCAACACACTTATGAAGCTTGCCCGTCACGGCAAGCATGATGAATCACCGACAAGGATTACCGGTTCAACCGAAGGTGTTTGAACAAAAGTTCATGACTCGTTTAGCAAGGCCGAGGTGAAACGAGGAAGCCCATGGGCAGAGCAAAGGAACGTGCGACATGAGGACGAAAGCGAAAGCTGCGACAGGGTGACGACGGTCGATTGCATAACTGATGCAAAGGCTGAGGGTTTTGTTGTAAGTACACACGGGGGCCCCAGTGGCCGACAGCGTGAGAAACCGTTCCCAAATTAGCAGATACACGGATTGGCGTCCCAATCCACTTGACAGATACCACACTGGCGTCGTCGTTGGTGCCAGTCCAGTGTGTATCTCTGGCACCCCCTGCTTGATCGAGGAGAAGCTGTACAGAGCAAGACCTACACCGGGAAAGACCAAGACTCTTGGGGACAGAGTGTGAGACACACAACACCGCCATGGGCGTACTGGCCTAAGCGGTGTCGAAACGGACACCGCACATTGCTGACCACAGTGGGAAGCAGCAACTGAGGCACACTTATGAAGCTTGCCCGTAGGGGCTAGCATGATGAATCACCGAGAAGGGTGACCCGTTTCGCTCGTTTCCCGTGACTCAGAAGGAAGGTGCAGAACCGCAAGGTGCAAGTCCAATCAACCGAAGGTCGTTCAACAAAAGTTCATGACTGGTTTTGCAAGGCCGAGGTGAAACAAGA